CAGCTCTAGGGATGGGGGCAGGGGAGGGGGTAGGAGTCCTGGTTTAGAGTTTGTCAATTTCTGTGGTGTAGCAACCAGCTGCAAAATTCCTGAAAAAAATCATGCTGGGCTCTGGCGAGTCTGTGAGAGCCGGCTCACGCGAGCAGACTGCCAACATGCTTTATAACACTGGGTAGGCAGTCGCACCCGGAATCTAGTCACTCAGTCAAGTCAAAACAAGTCAAAGTACTGATGAAATGCTTTGAGACAAGTGCAGTTACATTTGGCTGAGGCATCTGTAAGAAAGGCGTGGCTGTGCGCCATGTTTGTGTTTGAGCTTGCAGAGGTGGCTTTGTGAGCTTTCCTCACAGGCCCCTGGCTGTGTGTCAGACTCTGGCATCTAAGTGGACACAGTGCACCAGGACTGACACTCCTCGGGAGCTCTGCACCCCAGAACCAACTCAAAGGCCCCTCACACGTGGTCAGCTGTGCACCTGCTGAGGCCCAGGGTAACGTCATGCCAGTGACGCATGAACTCACGGGCACCACCATCTCAACGTGGCTTTGCACACAGGCTCCAAAAGGTGAGGAAGTGGCTTTCCTCTGCAAGAAATGGCCTTCACCCCAGCAGGCCCCTAGGGGGTCTTTCTGGGTGCTGGAAGTTCTGGAAAGAGAATGAGGCGGGCATGTACCAAGTACCACTGAACTGTCTACCTGAACATGGTTAGGTTATATGAATTTCACCTTGATGGTAACCAAAAGGAGACTATTATGATGGTAGGAGCTCTCATGGTGTAGTGTCTATGGCATCTGACTGCTAACTAGAAGGTTGGCGGTTCAAATCCGCCAGCCACTCCTCAAAAGGAAGGCTGGGCAATCTACTTCCGTAGTGTTACCACCTCGGAAACCCAAGGCGGGGTTGCTGTGAGTTGTATACGACTCGATGGCAGTGAGTTTGGTTTTTTTTTGTTTTATTATGATGGTATTAAAATTTGTAAACAGGCAGGATCTCTCTAGAGTATATGTGGATTTAACATGAAAGATATTTATGAAATATTACTTATAACACCACAGTGGAAAGTTGCTTGTGCAGAGTATAAATGAAACGCATGTAAAGGCCAACTGTAGGTATTTAATTCTTGCATTAAAAAATGTTTAAGGTACCACACTGCCTAATTACAAAGGCCTCCAATCACAGCCCATGAACCTTTACAAACTGAGAGGCACACTCCCTGTCTCCCAGGCCAAGAGCAACCTGGTGGGAGCAGCCGTGAGAGCAGGCACACTCGCCCAAGTTCTGTGCTGTCCTCAGTCAGGAGCATGGCCACAGCACTGCCCTTGCCTTCAGCCGATACTGCCACTTACAGAGAAGGATTCTTTCAGTACTTCGTGCAGGGGTGTGAAACATACGTGAGACTATTTGCCAAGAAGTAAAGAAGATGAGTGGGACCCTGTTCCCAGTTATCTGTTAAATTTTAGTTGACTGTTTTAGCTGCAAAATACTTTGACAATTTGAGGTTACAGACATTTACTACTAAAAATTAAGACCGACTTATTTTAATGAACCAGAAGACTGGCAATGTTTTAGGAATTTTAGCTGTTGTAAAGCAAGCTGAAAGCATTTAGTCTATTCTAAATTCTGAAGCCTGTCACTGACTCTGGATGCTGTCCAAGAGCCTGCCACAGGGAGCGACAGCCTTCACAACCCATCTTCTGGGATCACATCACTCCCAAGGCAGCCTCCTGTGACTGCATCAACCCACTGCCCGGCAGACGGAACCGCACCGGCATCCTTCCGCTCGGCTACGTGGTGCAGAGGAGCACAACCAACAGTCATTTTTGTCCACCAAACTCCTGAGAACTCAATGAAATCCTCAGCCAAGACGATGACGACAGACAAACGGCAAGACCCACTTTCCTGTCTAATTGACACGAAAGATGGACATGCGCCTGGAGCTTGCCGCAGGCCTGATCTCTCTCTGGCCAGGACCTATTCTCACCTGAGACACACACGTCATGAACTCTTCTCTGCGATTTTGTGAACTACTTCTAATCACCATTGTTTAAAATTAGGAAACTTGGTTAGAAAGTAGATCCTCTTTAAAAACAAAAAACCCATCACCTGCAGCTGGCAACTAGCCGGCACCTTTGAACAATCTGTGACTCACTGGGACAGGGTGCTGACACAAAGCCCCAGGCCCTTCTCTGAGGACCTTCCTCAGCCATTCCCTCCACCTGGTGATTATCAGCAGAGGCTTTACCAGCTCCAGAGAAACACCTGAAATCTGGCAATTACTGACTCCTGCTGGCAGGTGCGAGAGCTCTGTGATGTGATGTGGCACCGAGAAGGTCTCTGCTGTTACTCACACAGCAAGGGCGAAGAGCCCAGTCTCGCTGTGGGACCCATTCTACAGCTCAGCTCGTTACAGAGTGTACTTGAGGTGACAAGCAGGCATGGCACCAGGAAAGGGAGACTACCTGGTCTCAGGGGCACTGCTGGTGGGTTTGGGTGGCGCACAGTCGCTGCCAGAGGGGCTGGGGCGCCCGACGGGGGCGGCGGTGGCGGCAGCAGCAGCAGCAGCAGGGCTGCCGAGGCTCCGTGCGTCCGAAGGCACACTCCGGGTGCTAAGACGAGAAGAAAAGCTTCAGCAACACAGCTGGGAAAGGGGATGGACGCTCGAGGGGTTTTCAGTTCATAGTAAGACAAGGCAGGGGAGTGAAAAAAAATGTATAAATGTAAAATGCAAACTGTTCTCAGACTGAGATGCAAGTCTAGGTATTCAAAAGAAATAAGTAAATCAGGAGAAAAAAAATTCAAACTTTGGTGTGTGTGTGTGGGGGAATGTGATTCTTTCCTAGCACACAGTGTCAAAGAAAATGAACTTCTTCAAATGAGAACATTCCGGGGACGAGGAAATGCTACAACCTCAAAATGCAGAAATGCCACCACATTCAAGATGATTACATGGAAAGTAGGATAGTTCCTAACTCTCTTTGTATCAACATTGCTTCTGAATTACACACATGTGGCCAACAAGCCTGGAAGGAACATCCAGCTTTTTCTCCACTTTTAAATTAACACCTAGTGTTGCTTTTAAATTAACACCTAGTGTTGCTTGTCAATATTCATTATGCTATGAACCCAAATTTGTTTTCTTAAAGTAATTTTTCAAAGAAAGAAAAGAAAGAATTACTTCAAAGCTAGAAAGCATTTAGCAGCTTGAGGTTATAAATAAGCGGAGACAGGCCATTCTCTTAAAAGGTACATGTCGGCTTTCAAATCAGGTGCGGGGGTGTCTTCAAGTGAACACACATGGGTGCGCTGAAGGTGGACAAGGATGCAGAGAACACATGGAGTCACCAGAAGCAAGCACCCGGCAGGTCTAGGATCAGCATGCAGTGAGAAGAACCCATGAGGCAAATGCTACAGAAGCACCAAATACCTGAACCCCTCTGGAGTGGGGATAATGAGGTGGGGGTTAGGAGGGTCACTGTGGCATCGAGGCACCTTCACAGGCCGGGGGCTGTTCCGATGCAGAGCTGTCAGGGAGAACGGCAACAGAGGAGCTTGTTAAAGGGTCAACAGAGGATCATCACAACAGGCAAGTCAGTATACAGGGGACGTTACTCAGTTCTGCCAGTGACCAAACTAAATCCATCTACGTAACTAACAATGATATTACAGATACATGTTATACAAATACACATCACTTCTTGAAAGTTAATAAAATCATATTAAGCATTCAAACTTTTCTCCACCCATCAAAACCATTTTTAAAATTCTTGGCCTGACGTAGACATGACGTCCAGTGAACCCTATCACAGCAACAACTGTCAATGGGGCTAATCGAGCACCTTGTTAATACAAAGGCACGCTGGTGTCTTTTTCAGCAAATTAGACATGACGGGCGTGACACCTGGCCACGGCCTGAGGTGAGCAGGGGAGCCGCTGTCACTTTCCTGAGTACGGTCAGCTTAACCATCATTGTTCCAAAGCACGCAGGTGGACGGGGCACCGTTTTAGCCTGACAGCTCTGTGTGCAGAGCACATTGCCTTCTCCTTTTAGAAATCTGGGTAGGAGGTAAACACGGTAGCAGATAAAGTTTTAGATATCGACTACTTACTGAGCTGAGTACAACAATGCTAACAATGTCTCCTTCCTGTGACTCCAAGATGCAGTAACAGACACGCTCTATTCTGTCTACTTCTCCTTACCATGCTTTTCTCCTTTTGTACTTTAAACCTTCTGCCTCACCTCAAATGAGTTTTTCTTTTGAACGTCGTATGCCCCCTTCTCTCCTGCAGTAATTTCAGTGGATGTGGATGTGATCCTTAACAGAAACCTTTCCTTCCTGGTGGGTTTGCTTTGCTGGCTTCCTTTTAATAACATTACACAGGGGGGAGAAGTACCCAAAATGTAGAGATCTGAAGGGCAAACTTGTAAAACCAACATGGACAGTGTATATCATGCAAGTTAACACGAAACTCCGGGAATTTCTGTCCCTGGTTCATTGTCTCAACCATTACAATGCCAAATGGAAAAAACCCAAAAGCAATAAATGTAGAGAAGGGGAAAAAAAAAAAAGATTTATAGTGAGGATGGTGGTATCTTTATGTCAACAAAGACAGTAGGAACTACAGAGTCAAAAATCAAAACAAAATTTCCTCATGAAGATATAAAAAGAAGACATTCTGTTAAAAACAAAACAAAGCACACATGCTTAACATTCTTCATGCATGAAACAGTGAAATAAAACATTTAAGAGTGAGTAGGTACATTTAATGCTGCAATACCATGACACTTCACTGCACTAAATTAGAGGCCAATAAACATAACAGATGTTAGTGATGGACACTGATCACAGAGATATTTTCAAGGCAAAAACAAAACAAACGCTTGCAGGATAAGATGAAAGAACATACAATTTGAACATCTTTATGATCTGATGGAATTTACAAAGATAACAATAGTACTTAACAACTGGCATAAGAAAAGGGTAGAAGGAACTGTGCCGCATCCATAATGACACAATTCAGCCACTAGAAAGACTGAGATGTCGACCTGTTGAAGTGGAGGATTTTCCACACTTGTCAGATGACAAATGCAAGAGAATTCTATGCAGTGTGGTCTCCCTGTTACACAGCAAACCATGTCAGAGACACGAAAGTGCACGTGTGCCACAGAAAGCGGCAAGCTCAAGCACCAGGCTTTTACCGTTAGTCACGTGGAAGGGCAGAGGGGGAGGGAGTGAGCAAGAGAAAGACAACAGTGCCAGGCCCTTACTCTGACTGACTTTCCTTTGAGAGCACAAAATCAATGACAACCACAGTGTACAAACCGTTACTCCTGCCTGAAGCTCACAGGAGCCGATGCTCAACATTAGAAAGGGAGGCTCAGAGACACTAAATGACCAGCCCAAGGTCACCCAGCCACCAGGAAACCTGACTCTAAGTCCTCTATTTCCCACATGGCATACTGAGGATCAATGACAAAGAGTGGACAGAGAGTGCTGTAAACTCGTGTCACCAGCAGCTAGAGAGACAGGCCTGCTGAGAGATAAGCCTCTCAGAGGCTGGCAGCAGGCCTGTGAGCTGCGGGGATGTGAGTGGAGCTCTAGGTCTGTAATTTGTTCTGCAGGGAGAGTCTTCCTATGCACACATTCTCTGGATTTTCAACATCTTCATAGTGTAACTTTTCTATAACTGAAAATAATTTCTCGTGCAATAAAAATATTTAAAATAGTTTTTACTGGATTATTAATAATATATCTTAAGCAAATATTTCAGAAAATCAAAGTTTATTGGCGATGAGGAATATCTATTGGTGACAGGAATACAGAATGTCCTATAAAATATTCAAATAACTTGGCAGATGGTAACTTTCATTTCTATAACAGCTGTGAGACAAACACAAAGGTCTAAACTGAGTGTGTTTTAAAGATAAAGAAGCCAATGACTAAAACCTAGTCTGTGAAATTTTCTGTAGCTATTAAGAAATATAGTCCATGCTCAATAAATTTACCATTTTTGATTCTGTGTGATTTAAATTGTACAAAACTGCTATCCTGCATTTTTGGGTGCTTATTACACATGAACACAGGTTTACTTTATCGACAGACTTTATCAAGAATAGAGAAAGACACAGCTATTGGGAAAAACACTGACCTGTTCTTAGAAATTTCCACTGACATGTATTATGTTTTTAAGGCTTCAAGATGGACACTAATTAAGGTGATTGTTATGGATTGAAATACGACCCCAAAAATCTGTGTTGTAAATGTTAACCTCTATGCCTGTGGTTGTGATCCCATTTGAGAATGGGTTGTCTTTGTTATGCAAAATATGCGGTGTGTTTTCCACATAAACACACCCACATATATAACGTGCATAGTGTAAAGAGGAGGCTAATGAGTGAGAGGGTTGCACACTTTATGAGAACCATACAAGGCACGCATTAGTTGTATGAAAATACCGTATCTTGAGTCAATTTCTTTTGATATAGAAGGTATTAATCAAGTGAGCAGAGCAGAGATGAGGGAGGAGAGATGCCAGGTCACATGAAGACTGCTCACAAGAAACAAGGACCTTCCTTCAGGGCCAACAGAGGAAGAAAGCCTTTCCCTAGAACCGATGCCCTGAGTTTGGACGGCCAGCCTCCTAAATTGTGCGGAAATAAATTTCTGTTTGTTAAAACCACCCACTTGTGGTACTTCTCTTAAAGCAGTACCAGGTAACTAAGAGAGAACTTGGTATCGGAAGAGTGGGGTGCTGCTCTAACAGAGACCTAAAATATGGAAGCAAGTTGGGGCTGAATAATGGATAGAGCCTGGAAGACTTTTAAGGTGCCCAACAGTAAAAGCCTAGATTGCCTTGAACAGAGTGTTGATAGATTTATGGACATCAAAGGCAATTCCTGGTGAGGGCTCAGAAGAAAGTGAGGAGAGCAATAGAGAAAGTCTCTGTTGTCTTAGAGAATACATATGGGGACAGCAACAGGATGTTGCTAGAAATGTGGACATTAAATGTGCTTCTGGTTTTAAAAGAAAATGATGAACATGTGATTAAACACTAGAGGAATGGCGATGCTTTTTATGCGGTCGCAAAGAGCTTGTCTGAACTATTTTCAAATGTTTGATAGAAAGTAGAACTTGTAAGTTATAAAACTGGTATCTGTCTGATGAGAATTCGAAGTTCTTAAAGGGGCCATGTGGTTTCTGCTCACCACTTATAGTAAAATGCAAGAGGAAAGAGATGGACTTAAAAATGAACTGTGCAAAATGAAAATAGATTTTAGCAAGATTTAGAAAATTCTGTTGTACAAGCTAAGGACATGTATCCTAGCCTCGATCTTGGCCAACTCGGTTCCAGAGTGTGGGACTGTAGTTAATGTGTGCCAAAGGAACGGGGCCACCGGACAAAGCTGAAGGACAGGGCTGCCGTACACAAGAGGCAGAGGATGGGGCCTGCCAGGACGAGGGGGTGGGGTTGCTACTGAGATGAACTACGAGAATGGGGCTCCTTAAAGCTGAGGGAGTAGAGTTGCCCAGGGCCCACAGGTCTATACCCAGAATGCAGAGGGCATGTACGGCCAACACCCAGCATCTGGAAGGCAGGACATTGCCTAGATGGTGCCAAGGAAGAGAACATTATTTTCAAGCTCTGAGACCTAATGTACTTTGTTCAGCTGGGTTTTGGACATGCTTGGTACCTGTTACCCCTTCTTTCCTTCCAATTTCTATTTGTAGTAGAAATGTCTACTTTCGGCCTGTTCCACCAATTTACTCCAGAAACAGGTAATTCGTATTCTAGATTTCACAAGTTCACAGATGAAAAGGAATTTTGCCCCAGGATGGAATATGCCTAATGTCTCAGACATATTTGATTCAGATGATTCAGAAGATGAGATTTTGGGATGTGGAACAGACTTACAGCTTTTGGGATGAGGTGATGAAATAAATGTGTTTTACTTACGGAAGGAAATGAATTTTGGGGGATCAAAGGATAGAATGGTAGGGCTTGCATTATGTCCCCTCAAATTACATGCTATAAATCCTAACCTTTATGCCCTTGGTTATAATCCTATCTGGGAATGGGTTATCTGTGTTATGTTAATGGAGCATGATTAGTGTAGGGGGAGTCTTGAGTCAATGTCTCCTAAAATACAGGAGAGACTAATAAGCGAGCAGAGCAGAACCACGGGAGCAGAGACGCCAAACCGCATGAAGAGTGCTCAGGAGCAGAAGCTCAGGAGCTAGGAGGACTGTCCCCCAGAGCCGAGAGAGAGAGAGAGAGAGAGATAGAGAGAGAGACAGAGAGAGAGCGCGCGCTTTGCTCTAGAGCCAGCACCTCGAATTCAGAGCCTCCGACCCTGTGAGAGGCACCTGACTATTGTTCAAACCCACCAGCCACTCCTCAGAAGGAAGATGGGGCAATCTACTTCCGTAGTGATACAGCCTCAGAAACCCAAGGAGGGGTCGCGATGAGTCAGGTCTGACTCGACGGCACATAACAACGGCAACACCACTCTGTGAAAAAATGAACTTTTGCTGGTTACAGCCGGCTGTGATACTACTGTTACAGTGGAGAGGGTAACTCAGACCGTGGTGCACGCTGCAGCCTAACTTCATCTGATTTTTTTAAATACCACTCAATGGGAGCTGGCCAGTTGGTGGAGAAACGAGTACTGAGCAAAGCTGTGGAAAAAAACCAAAGAGGAAGGAGGTAGACAATTCTACTCCTTCACCTGTAGCTGGAGAGGCCCTGGCTTCTTGACAGACAGCTAGCTATCTTCAGGACCCCCACCCCCACCATCTGTGAGAAAGGATTTTAGAGGAAGAAGAGGATAGTAGCATTGGTGTGCAAAGAAGAAACCAACTTGCAGTGGATCGCTGCTGGCTAGCATGAAGTACCCTGTGTGGCATCTTAATCTACATCCTATTGAATTTAGAACTACTGTGGAATCCTCTATAGGCACACCACCTCTCGGCAGCTCTCACCGTCATTTCCTGAACGACCCTAAGAATCTCTTACAGCTTCCAATGGCTGTAACCACGAGATGAGTCGCTCACCCAAACCAGTATGCTCCGGGAGAAATGCTAGTAACGGCTGTCTTACCAAGGTACAAACCTGTAACGGGACTGTGTGGCTTTCCTATGACATGGCCAATGCATTCGTTCATCAAGGCTTGCAAACTCTGGAGACCAAAGGAAAACGGGAAGAGAAGTCAGAGAATGTGCAGCCCTCTAATCCTGTCAGCAGCACCAGCAAGGTTTTCAGTACACTTAAAAGAGGCTATTTTTAGTCAATATTTTCAAAGCTAATGTAAAAGAAAACAGGCACAAACTTAAAATAAGCATAAATTCTACATGATTTACAAGAATGTAGTAAGCTGTTCCAACTTTATACATGAAAGCAAATTTGCCTTCCACTCCTCACAGTGCAGGGGTATGCACGAGGCAGGACGTTTTAGTCATCAACTCTATTGCTCAGATGAACTGATGGAGTTTATGAGAATAACAGTGAGAACAATTAATATGCTCTCCAATGACTCACACTGAAGGAATTAGCTAGTCCCTATTTCTCATTTAACTGCCAAAAACCAAGCTGGCAATTTTAAAGTACAAAACTAGTAAGTATTTTATAAAGTGCCAAGGTTTATAACTATCTACTCACTAATCTGTTGAACAGCATTGTTATAGGAAAGAAGAGTACAAATCTTACAGGCTGAGAAGAGTACTCCAACTCCTCAGCATTATCATTACAGTTATGTATAACAAGGTTTAAGAATCACTACAGTGCCTAAGGAGCTCTGGTAGTGTAGTGCCTAGGGCATCTGACTGCTAACCAGAAGGCTGGCAGTTCACACCCACCAGCCACTCCTCGGAAGGAAGACTGGGCAGTCTACCTCCATAGTGATACCACCTCTGAAACCCAAGAAGGGGTCGCTATGAGTTGGATCTGATTCGACGGCAGTGAGTTTGGCTTTTTTGGGATAGTGCCTAAAGTATGTGACTGCTAACCAGGTCAGAAGTTTGGCTACACAGAAGGAAGATGGGGCAATCCACTTCCACAAAATTACTGCCTTGAAAACCCAATGGGGATCTCTATGTGTCAGAACAGACTCGATGGCAGGGAGTTTTATTATTATTAAGTATAAAAGAAGCTCTGGTGGCATAGTGGGTAAAGCATTTGGCTGCTGACCAGGAGGTCAGTGGTTCAAACCCACCAGCTGCTCCACAAGGAGGAGAAGGGGAAATCTACATATGTAAAGATTTACAGCCTTGGAAACCAATGGGGGGGTCACTATGAGTCAGAATCGATTTGATAGCAGTGGGTTTATTAAATACAAAATAAACAGATACACAACAAAATAACACCCAAAGATCAACTTGTTTTTTCATGAGAAGACCTTTAGAAAATGTCGTACCAAAAAGTCATCTTCTGGTAAAGCTGAAATAAAGGCAGGTTCGATGGCTTGCAGAAAATCAAATCCTTGCGTCGCCCACCTGTTTTATCGGACAAAGTTCAAAATCACCACACAACCAAGAAGACACTGCAGCATTTTAGATTCTACAAGACTGAAAAGTAATCCCCCGGGAAAGTGCCATGTAGCCCAAAACACATTTTAATGTAAGTTTGTAAGTGCTGGGGTTGAATAAATTTATAGTGTGGTCTTTTGAGAAAGAACAAAACAACATCTTAATAAAGCAGTTTGTTCCTTGTGTACACTTAGTAACAGGAATAAATTTCATCAGAGAGAAAAAAAAAAAGACCTTGTCCAGGAGAATGGAAACTCTGTGAGAGATAACTCAGATCAAAACAAAAGAAAAAAGTTTCCAAAAATTATGGGGTTTTCTATGGAAATATTTTCATTTAAAAAAACTGGTCACCATAGAGTTCCACATCCCGCTGTGTGTCATCTCCTGACAAACGCCACACAGCACTGCAGATCGAAACAATGCCAATCCCACTGACTCACAAAGGCCAGATGCAGACTTGATCACTACCTGGGTCTGGTGCCTCGACCACTCTCACATTTTGTCAGGACGTAATTCATCCATTTCCGGGCAAAGTTTATATATTTGTCTCCTATCTTCTGTCTAAACTCTCCAGACATCAAACGAACAACTTCTTTATGATACTGTAAGAAGATTCCATGTATATCAAAATTAAGAAGAAAATAACTATTAGATGAATACCTCAACAGTACAATGCTACTTTCTAAAATCAAAAGGCAAATCCAGTAAGTATTTATATATTCTGAAAAGACTTTGGAAGAGTTATAGATTCTAGTGTCTCAAAATGCAGTTTTACAAATGTTTTACTCATTAGTTTTTTTTAAAAAGCACTAAATTAAGACTGTGCTTTTATGATATTAAACATTTCATAAAAGATTTTAAATGTAAGCAGGTAGCAGCACAAAATAAATACTGGGCAAGTATCTGACAGATGGAAAGAAAATTAACACACGTGACATTCAGCAGGTATAAAATACATTATTTTAGTAAGTTATGGTTACAATTAATAATCAAATTTGCCATACAAGACTGATAATATATTTTGTTAGTAAGTTACAGAGCAACTGCTAAATGGTACTGTGTTTTCCTCCTCTTTTGGACCTACCTCAAATCCAAAGTTGTACCCCTGAATCATTGCTTCCCGGTAGTACTGCTGCAAGGTGACAGACTCAGACTCATCAACTTCAGCATCAAATTCTGATGTGAACATGTGGTCCACTTGGTCAATGGCATCACTTATTCTGTTGCACAGCTCTAGTGCATCGTTCTAAAGAGTTCCAAAACACAGTCACCTCAACATGCAGCAATGACACAATGCTTCCTATAGTTAAAGGAGGATGTCCCTCACCATCAACAAGGGCATTCCCACTGCAATGCATTTCAGTATGTTTGATTTGATTATTCAGAAGAATGGTCAAAAGTAGAGAAAACCATATTACCTTCATTTCTACTTGTATCGGGCATCAAGAATCTGTCCTTCTGACAATTATTATATGAGACCACTACTGGGAAAAGTTAAGAAAAATCTGACACACAAAATTTATTATTCTTTGAAGGTTACCAGGGGTTGCAGGGGAAAAAAGGGAAATCACCAACTGGAGGGTACACACAGATATTAACTTGGGTGAAGGGAAAAGCAGCACACATTAAAGGGGAGTTCAGCACAAAATGATCAAGGCAGGGGAAGAGACAGGAGGAGCCAGGAGTTACAGGGACAGAGGTGAATACTACTACATACACAATCCTGTAACAGCAGTAACAACAGTAATTCAGGAATGTATACACAGATGGATACTCAAGCTGAAGGGGGCCACAGCCATGAATGCATGTGCATAGGTTGGACAGAGGCGATCTCTACCTATACATTTATATGGGCTGCAAAGACAACCATGAATGTAGCAGAGCATATAGAGGACAAAGTTAGGAACACATCTTAATCATAACCAAATGCCTTAAAGGAATGAGTCACTGGTATGGAGACTCAGGGCCACAATCTTAGGGGACATAAAGGTCAACTGGCATAACACAATCCACAAAGTCTATGTTCTACATTCTATTCTGGTTGAGTAGAGACTGGAGTTGTGAAAGCCTGTGAATGGCCAACCAAGGTGCAACTATTGGTCTCTCTTTGTCTGGAGCAAAGAAGAGTAAAGAAAATCAAAGACACAGGGAACAATTAGTCCAAAGGACTAAAGGACCAAGTGAACCCCAGCCTCCACAACCCTAAGACCAGAATAAATGGTGTCCAGCTACCACTGCTGACTGCTCTGAAAGGGATCACAATAAAAGGTCCTGGACAGAATGGGAGAAACACAGAAAAAAACTCAAAATCATAAGAAAGACCAGGCTTACTAGTCTGATGAAGACTGGCAGAACCCCTGAGACTATGGCCCTTTGACATCCTTCAAGCTAGGAACTGAACTGAACCCCCACAACTCAACTGGCAGCCAAACAATAAACAGACCTATAAGGTGAACAGTAGCATCAGGAAAGTATTCACTCATTCAAACAATCAAGCATATATATGCGACCAACAGGACAGCATTTGCCCAGGGACACAGCTAGGAAGATGGGAGGGGATGGCAAGGAAGGATGAAGGGAAGGGGTGAACAAGGGTAGGAAG